GTCTAAGACACGCAGTTCTGTAGTGCTCTCCCACCTGCCACCTAACTGCCTCTCAGTTAGGCAGTGAGCAACCAAATGTCATGCCACAGAAGTTCTGTGCAGGAGAATTGCACACAAAAGCTCACATGTTGTTTCAGATGTCTTGAAGAATTGGAAAACCTGGAGAAAAATAGCTGGTATAATCATTTCTCAGGGCCACCACACAGGGCCTAGAAGAACCAAGAGGCAAATATTATGGCTTGAACTCACCATGTGTCATGTGACTTTAGGCAATGGATTAGGCTTTTGTCAGTCTTTTATATAGCACTGCAGACATACTAATAAGATCTACTCTTCATAAATACTTCTTTTTAACACTGCAAGTGTTGGTTTTACCCAAATTCTATTTATCCAATTTTTTTATACTAATTTCCAGGTTGATTTTACCTTCTTTTTATTTCATGGTGCAGGTGCTCAAAGAAAATCAACATTTTTCTTTGCAAATTAAACTGAATGTGTAAATAATAGTAACTGATTTGTGTTGAATTTTAAATCAAATTCAGGTACAAAAATGTTGTTACAATTTGATGCCAAATCCAAGTGTGTGATGTGACAGCTTACCCATATGCATATCTTCTTTTCATATAGATCATTCATGTCCAGAAATCTGCCAGGTCTGTAGGATTTCCGAATAACAGAAAGGAAAAAAGAAGCTCATTTAACCTGCCTTTCTGATTTTTAGTTTCTTAATTGATGTCATTTAGTGCTAATTACTTGGGTTTCATTCAAAGCTCCTTTTGACAAGTCAAAGGTGATGGTAAATCTGAGAACTTGGAAAAAGAAAAAAATCTGTAAAGCTGTTGGTTGGGTGCTGGTGTCAGTTTATAATGTCTTTCATCCATGTGCACTCTTGTGCTCAAAGTGTTTGATGTTGGAGCACGATATCCTGTTAAGCATGCAGTCACTAAAGATTTGCAGTGAAAAATGTTGATATTTAGAAGTGCACTGTAATGTACCAAACAATATTAATTTAAAATCATCCACTAGTGAGACTCCTGAACTTTGGCAAAAGGTTTGAACTTTTCAGCCACCATAAAATTATTTTGGGCATCTGGCCAGTTCCTAAATATGTTGTGTGGACATCAGTGGCAAAGCTTTTAATTTGGAATGATTCATTTCAGCCTGTCAACTAAAATGAAAGAGAGCATTGCTGTATATTTTTTTTAATCATTTGATTTCATTGAAATACTTACAGAGCATTTAAGTGAATTTCACATACACTTGTGTCATACACCATATGAAAACTGCATCTTTCACTCTTTCCATTCTGCACATTACTGGCTCCTCTTCCATGATCAAAACTAAATGAATAGAGAACAAAACATAAAGTTAGTATGGGTAAGTCTTACCCTTTAGATATGGTTAATTCTATATCTCCTTTATCATGTTCACACCAAAGTGTCAATGTCTTAGAAACTCAATGACTGTGTTAAATTTGAGCTTTTGGTTTGTTTTGGCAAGATCAATACTATTAAGTTGTTTCTGTCCCTAAATGCAAATCAGTGATATTAAGAGATAATCATGTTAGTTTGCCCTTTGAACTGTTCAAGTGATCTTGTTCATATTACCAGATCCTGGAGCACTTTCACCTTTCAGACTGTCAGCTTCCACCTGAGAACATCATGAGAGTTCTGCATGTGCAGACACTTCTCACATCCTGCTTTCACAGAAGAGGATGTCAGCTGGAGGGCAGGTGTGACACTGCCTTGCATTCAGCTGGATATCTGAAATGCACTGTGGCATGTCTCTTCTGCCAAAAACAGGGAGAGATTATGGAAATGCAGCTCTCCTAATCAGCTCCTGAAGATTGTCTCATTTCAGTTCTCTAGTGATTTTTCAGAAACCCTGCTCTCAAAGGAGTTTCTTTATGTACTTTAAAAGAGCTCACTACTTTCACCCCTGGCCACATTTACAGTGAATACTGTCTGGGTGACAGTATGTCTAGGTGTTTCTCAGGCACAGTCATTATCTGCTGTCTCCTTTATTGTGACCTGCCTTTCCCAGACTTCCACTTTCACCACCATTCATCCTACTATGTGTATTTAGGACAACCAGGAATGTGATAAACAGCTTATGTTTATAGCACTTGCATGGGAAAGTAACTAAAACTATGAAAACATTATCAGAAGGCTCCAATTCCCAGGGTGACAAGTGTGCATATCCTTGTCAATATTAAGAGTAATAAATTAAACCTAAAAATCATAGAGAAAAATGTCCAGATATTTTATTTATTTGGTTATTTGGGTCTAGCTGTTGCAAGAAACATTCCGCACCATCATAGCCCCATTTCAAATAGTCCTATACCTTTAAAAAAAATATGTTTTTCAAGTGTTAGAGAAAGTTGAAATATAAAGGTTCTAAGCAGCAATACAAAACAGGATGTGTGTCACATGGAGCAACAATTACACCCTAAGTGCACAGAGAACAACTCAGGGAAGCTAAATACCTCACACTCCCCAATATGTAATATTATCACAGCATGAGTAATTGGAGATATTCTATAGAACTGCCTTGACTTTAGGTTTTTTTAAAGCCTATCTTAAATCATTCACCTATCCCCTTCCTTATCTTTTGAACTATACAGTTTTCTGCTTTCAACTCTCCCTGCTCTTTTCTGCACTAAGACTTCAAACATTGCAGTGCTCTCTATTCTGTATACACTGACTGATGAAAACAGGAGTTCATAGCTGTAAGTGACATTGTCTGTGCCAAAATTATGCATATTTATGCAATTCTTTCTTATTGAAAAACAAATGTCAGTAATTGGAAACCTTTTTTTCCTCTAAAAATAATCCCTTCCCAAAGCTTTCAACAGTACAATGTTGCAGAAAAGCCCTATTAGATTATCCAATTAATTTCCTTTTCAATGAACGATTTCTTTTGGCAATACTCTGACATTTCAGGGGTTCTGACTTGTCTGATTTTGAAATGATGAGGCACTTCCCTCTGGAGATCTCTCTGAACACTCAGAGATTTCCCCACAAGGCTAGTAATCTTTATTCCCATCCTAGAAATTCTGTTTCTGAATTTCATTTCTCATTCCTTTATTTGCTGTACACTGTTGTATTCTTGAAGTTATTTGTTTTCAAATATTTCTTATATAATTACGTAAATTTACTTCATCTCCTCTGCTCTTACTTTATTATCAGTTGTGGTAGATGGGACATAAATACTGGGATGCTTTAGTCTTTCTTTTCTTTTTTCCCCTTGTCCCAGTTGGTTTACACAGCCCTCCCCTGGTTTTATGGCTCTCTTCAGCACTATTTTGTCTTGTCAGTGAGAAAATGGTAAAATGGCATTTAGAAATTAATGCATACCCAGATATGCTCTCTTCAAAACAGCACAGAGACAAGCTGGGAACTTCTGTATCATTTTTCATACCTCTGTAATACCTAACCAACAGAGCCTGGTTGTGAACATAGCCTTTGGCTGGTAATGCAATTGGTGCCCAAATTGGCCTTTTGATGCTATATGGAAGTCCAGGTTCTTGTTTAGTTTCTGCTCTTATTCTTTATCTAGAATTTTTTCAGTCTCTTATTTCCTGCCACTGTTTCTAAATGTGTCCTTTTCCTTGTCCAGTGTGGTATTTGCAATTCTTCACATTTTAATATTGTATGCGCAAATGTCATAATTTCTTCCTTTTAAGGATCATTAATAAAGCAGTGAAACAGTACTGGACACAATACAGATTTATGCAACATTTCCCTTTTATTCTGATTCAGTTTTACCATTAATCATTAGTCTTTGTTTGTAGCTGTTCAGTTCTCTTCAATTTTTAGTCCACATGACAACTTCTATCCAACCAAATATGAATTGATTTTTAGTTTAAGCTGTCCTGTAGCTGGAAGTGGTGCTGTTGCTGATAGTGTGACAGTGCAGCAGAGCGGTTTTTCTTCTATAGCATGCTGTGGGAGCATGACTTTCACTAGGCAGGGCAAATGAGAGTTAAAGCTCTGTCTGAATTCATGGACAATTGCCCCTGGTAAAAATCTGTTGCTGATGTCTATCAGCAGTATTCCCTGCAGGTGCTGATGGTGAAAATGTCTTTTAAAATCTAAGCTCTAATCCTTTGCTTACACACAGGGGTGAGAGGAGGAATTGAAATTTCAGTTGGATGCTTACTGAAATTGTATACAGTACGCATACAGTTTAAAACAAACGTGAAAATTAATTTCAGTGCTTCTTTTTGACTTGGGATTTTGTTGCAATAACACACCTGAATTGCTGTGTAAAGGTCATCAGTATTCAAGAATCGTATCTCTATATCATATCCATTTATCTTATATCATTTATTTAGCCATCACCTGTCCACATAGATGTATCTCTTTTTTCTGTATTTGGATGGGTGGTATTCCATTGAATAACTGTGTGTGGATTATTATAAATGCAACATTTGTTATGTGATTTGCCATACCTGAGTATCACTGATGTATATGGATTCTTATGAGTTCTTTGTCATTACTTATAATACTCATCTATATGTAATTTTCCTGTTATTTGTGTTCTGGGTGCTGGATTGTCTTCAAATTTCTGCCTCTTATAGTGCTGTGTTGTCTTTGAGTATCAAAGAGCTGTCAACATATACAGGAAGAAGTGCCTGATAAAAAAGATCATGGGTGTTTATTTGATGAAAGTCTTAGAATCGATGAAGAAAACATAGAAATTAGCATATTGAATATTATGTAAATATGCTTTAATTTTAAAGCTTTAATGCTTTGTTTTTTAAAATAAAAATTATTAGCAATCCTTCTGTTTTGTCTTTTAGTTACAGACATGGTATTGTTAGGCATTTATAATCTTCTAGCCATTAATTCCTATCAGATATACCTTCTGTAGGTCTTTGCTGCCATCTTCTGTTTCTTTAAATGATTGCCATTGTTATTATTTGGATTCTGAAAAATTACTGGGATATTACAGAGAAAAATTGCCCTTAATGTTATTTTTTTAATTTCTGTTTTCAGCTAAAGCAAAGTGAAGCTAATGCAGATACAAAGGAGAAGCTTCCCTTGCGTCTACGCATCTTTGAAAAATTTCCAAACAGGCCACAAATGGTGAAAATCTCAAAGCTTCCTTCAGATTTCACAGTTCCAAAAATAAGGTATTGAAATATTTCCTTTGCTAGCATGCTGTGCCCCCCTTTTCTGGGGCCACATAACACCCAAAACATTTAATTTTTTTCTTGTGTGTTAGGCAGATAGTTCAGAAAATAAGAAATTAAACAGAATTAACATAGACATTCAAAAGATGTGGCATTTTGGGTATACCTCATTTCTCTCATTTGGGGAAAAGCAATCCCAGCATTCCCTATACCTTATTCATGGAAGCAGCTAGATTGATCAGAACTGACACAAGTACAATATAATTGAAAAGTGTGTTATTTCTCCTCTTTCATTTGGATTTTAGTTTCTTGGTTCACATAGACAACTAGCAGTCTAATGGATTCTCATGTAGGTTTTTAAAGCTAGGGTGAACTGGGAGGAGGAAATTATTAGAGAGGGTAAAACAGACCATCTATTACCAGTTAGCCTGTGATGACCCTGTCCCTTATTTGTATTTGCGTAGTTACCACTTTCCTGTGAAAATCGCCTTAAGTAATGATCAGATGCTCAGTGATCCACTAGATCATTCTTTACTGTGAGGGTGGTGCAGCACTGGGACAGGTTGCCCAGAAAAGTTGTAGAGGCTCCATCCCTGGAAGTGTACAAGGCCACGCTGGATGGAGCTCTGAACAACCTAGTCTGTTGGAAGGTGTCCCTGCCCGTGGCAGGCAGACTGGAACAAGATGATGTCTAAGGTCCCTTCCAACCCAAACTATTCTACAAATCTGTGATCATCACTTAGAGTACAATTATTTTCCCTTGGTGTCAAAAAAATCTGACAGAAATCCAACGGCTGCTCTAGTATATACAGGCAGCAAAGTCTGCTGAAATAGCACAAGCTGGCTGAGCAGATGCCGTGCCCATTTCAATATCCTCAACAAGCACATACCAGAAGAGAAGATGATGTGAAACAATGTGCTGCCATTGTTCTGAGCCTCCCAAGGTTACATTTCTTTTGATTAAATTCACAAGGAAGTTAAGACAACTGGTTTGACCTGTTTGTAGTACCTTATCTGAACCAAAGAAATCATGCTGGTCAGAAGGGTCAAGAAAAGCAGCCTTCCAAACCTCAAGAAAACAATCACAGATGTTTTACTTTTAGCATCAAATTACCGTATGGTTATATATATATATATATATATATAACCATATGGTTATATGTATATGTTATATACCTAGTCTTGGTCTTTTTTGGTATTTCTTTCTAGTTGTGTTTTTCCCAGCATATTCTGTACTCACTTGTGATCCTATTAACTACGGAAACAAACTTCAAACTAGCAGTAGCAAATCAGATCTTTAGATCTGAAGCTATTGTGCTATGTAAAAATATCTCTCCAGAGAAAAAACAGTTTTGACATAGTTTACACTGAAAACAGGCAACTCTACTGAACATAAAATACGGCAAGATGAATGTATATTTGTTGTAAACAGAAATGCTTCTGCTTTTTAAACATGGTATGTGTGAGGCACAGAATTGCTGAAGTGCCTTAATACTGACATTCAAAGCAGTTATATGAACAGATGTTGTTTGAAATCTTCAAGAAAGAACTTCATGCAGAGAGTATGTTTTCTTTGGATTATATCAGCATTTGATTTACATTGAAGTAACAACTTGCTGTTTAATGAGCTCAAAAGAGCTGAAAGCTGCAAAAGGCACTTGAAATATTTAGCACTTTAATTGGAAAATAAATAAAAAAATAAAGCAATATTTTTTATTTTTTTTAATCCACATGCAAGAGATTCAGTTCTCAATTCTTTTATGGATTCCTTTAATAAATGAATTCAAGGGTTGTCAGTTGTTCAGGCACTCTGTTCATTTATACATCTATACCCCAACTTTTTGTCAGGAGTTTATCCATCTCAGCAGTAATGAATTGTGATATTTCATAAGGAAAAACAAATATTAACTCTTCTTGGGGTTTTAATATGTCAAAATCCTCTATTTGTTCACAAGGGAAAGTTTTATGAAGCAGTTTATTGATCGCCAGCAACAAGACACCAGCTGTTTGCTGCGAAGGCTTCCTTCAGCATCTTCTTCCTCATGTGACCACTCTAAAAGATCAGCAATTGAAGAAAACAGATATATTGATCAAAAGGTAAATCAAGAGTATAGGGTAGTATATATGTTGCCTAGAGTACTGTATGAAAAGGCATCAGGTTATTCAGTTTGTCAAACTACATAAAAAGTGAATAAAAGCTAGGATGATTGAACATAGGCTAAAAGGTTATGTTTAATTTAGCCTAAAACAGACATCATAGCAGATATTCTTTTGGTTAAAATTCTTCCACCCCCTTTGAATTCAAAATTCAAGATTTGATACGTTATTTGTTTAATACATGCATTATTTGAAGCATTTTTTTAAAAATTGTTTTGCGTTATACACTGAGAAGCTAGTGGAAAATTAAAGTTTCTGAATAGTACACTGGATTTCTGAGTACCTTGATACTATTGCAATCTTGAAAACACACTTCACTGAAGGAAGTGTGAAGGAAGTGCGAAGGAACTGTGAAGGAAGGAATCAAGCCTAAATGGACATCATCTGCTTTAACAAGCAGAGCAGAAAAATTGGAAATATTATTAAGATCTCTGTGTAATCACTGAAGATGAGTAAAAAATTGTTTAGAGGATATTACCTTATCTGTAAACCTGGGAATCACTAAAAACGAGACACTGAACAGATATATTTGATACCCATTGTGCTGAAAGCTGCTAGTCTTCTGTGGATGGGTGGATTTGAAATATACTAACACTGCTTGGAATGATGACCATGATGATGAGGATGATGATGATGATGATGATGCAGCATAAGTAAATGAATGTGACTTCTGACACCTTATAAAACTAACGGGGCAGAAAACAATATTCATGTGCATCATGGAAGTTAGTGGTTTCCCAGATTTCTAGTGGCACCTGCATATCAGTCCTTGATCACTTGTAATATTGCATAATTTAGTGACATTTTTATAGACAAAAGAAAATTGCTTTCAGTACTGTAATGTTTCAGTATTGTTTCACTATTGTTCATTGTTGAATCCTCTTTGAATATTAACATCTGTGTTTTTTAAATACATTTTAAGTTACAGAACCACAGAGAAGAAAAAACAGAGTCTATGCATTGCTGTTATATTGTATAACTGGCTTTCCTAGTGTGTGTTACATACAGGCAGTTGCAGAGCTGGGAGGCAGAATTGGGAAAGGAGAGTTGGGAAAAACATTACTCTTCTGATAATGAATGAAAATAGACAATTTGTAAACTAGTGTTACTTGCCATCCCTAGTTTTCTGCAAGAACCCGTTCTTGTGGCTGATGTATTCTATGGCATCAGTAAGCCATAGAATCAGAAAGCTGGGCAGCATGACCTGGGAGGGAGGACTGTGTCAAAATATGGCATATCAGGCCAAGAAGGCTGTAGGAAGGAGTCAAGCCTAAATGGACATCATCTGCTTTAACAAGCACAGCAGGAAAACTGAATAAGTTATTAATGACAAGCCTAGGGGCTAGCAGAACTATGCCAAATATTACTAATAATGGATCTCAAACACTAATAATGGATCTCAAACACTATGCCAGGGTAATCAGAATACATTTCTACCATGTAATGAAGAGATGAACAAAGACCTTAAAGTTGTCTCAGCCACCCAGGTAAGTCCACAGTATGCAATACAGAGCTGTGCAGTGGCTCAGTAGATCTGTTTACCTTAATATAATTTAGGTGTATTAAGTTCCATCTTAATTCCTTTTGCTTGCTGTTTACAAAAGTGAATTGTTACTGTGTTTGAAGACAGATGAATACATGGCACAGTTTATTCAGTGAGATCTTGCAATATAAAAACAGAATGCTGCATTCTTTTCAAATTTTTGCTTCCCTTAAAAAGCAAATATGCATTATCTGACTTTAATTTTTGAATTTAAATAAACATTTGCAAATTGGTTTTGCACTATTCGACCTGCTTTAAGCACATAGGATCCCATGCCTCAAGGGTAGAAACAATGATGAGTAGTATTTCTGATAAATGTAGCTTAAAACAAGGTATTTACATATTCCTATTAAGAGAAGAAAGCACTAAGAAGGATTTTTGAAAGTAATTATTCGAGCTTTCTATAGTTACAGTTGCCAAGGCAACCTCACTTTTGTATGAAAAAGTCTTCTTAAAAATATCCTTAAAACAAGCTTGGAATGGCTGGTTCTGCCTAAGTATTAACCTTACATCTATACTTTACTTTTCTTTGTAAAAAAAGAAACATGACAAAATATTTTACTGATCTCAATGCCTGGCAGGATGCCTTTTCACTGCTCCTGTTAGTGGTGGGATGGTTTCAGAAATTTTTCACATGCTTTTGCATTGTAGCTGATGAAAAAGAAGTGGAATTAAAAGGCAGAATCAAAAGGTGAGATCTTGCTGGCAGATCTGACTCTGTCCTTCTTTTGTGGTATCTGAACTGTGGCTGCTCTCTCCATTTACTCCTGGACCTAAGTCAGTATCTCTGTGTTCCACACCTGCTGAATTGATAGGAAGCCCTTACATTCCCGTTTTTCCCTTACTTCCACTTCAGCAATATTCTTTTTTCATTGTCTAGAAATCTGCCACTATATGGTTTTGTGTTCAGAATCAATCTGCCCCATAATTTGTGATGATCAATAAAGCAGATTTTATATAAGTTCTCTTATAGAGTGAATTTAGTTAGAGTTTTCAGTATTATAATTATTAAAATTGACCACTTCCTTTAAAAGTAGCTTTAAGGTGCAAAGAGAGAGTAGATTTTCAGTGCATTCTTCCTTTTTTTTCTTTTTTTTTTTTATTTTAAGATAGTCTACCTTCTTGAAAAAATTGGAAAAAATTTATTTTTAGTGTAAATCACTGTAACCATGACAACAATCCATTTGATATGATTTTCATCTATGCCAAATCAAAAGAACGGCTTTGGAAATCAGATTTCTCTGCTATAATCCTTTTTTTCTAGTCACATCTGTGAGTTCCGTCATTTCTTCTAACTCTTCCAAATTTTTAAACTATTATGAAAGTTATAAACTAACCAAACACTATTACAAAAAAATCACTTTTAGATACCTAAATGCCCTTTACATTTCATGCATCCGCTAAGAGTTCTCTGTCAGTGTATGGAGTGAGTAGGTGTGTGGATACAGATTGTATCATGTTCTTCCTTCTACATCCAACTCCAGCAACACCTGGGCTCTCCCACATACAGATGCTTGATGGGCAGCTTAGCACTTTGCTTTGTTTGACTTGTATATTATTATCTGTAACATCTTGTGTGTAAAACTTGGATTCTCTGGGGTTCTCTGAACTTTAATACTGCTGGAGATGGAGGATGATCATTTTTTGCTCTCCACTTGAGGTCCTGCATAGCAAATTTACTAAAGATCAGTGATCTTGCCACAGACCTGCCCCCCTGAATGCTGTTCTGGTCTGTCCTGATGTGGTCTGCAGGCCATGATTTGAAAAAGCCATGGTCAAATTAGAGAAACCAGGACTGTTCAGATTGGTGAGCATTCCCCTGTTGTAGTAGAAAGCACTGTGAAGGTATTTTCTGGTTAAAGAAGGAAGATTTCTTGGAAAAAGTATGAGGTTAAAAGAGGGATTTAGGGTATTAAATGTACATTGTAGATGTGGGGGAAAGGGAGTTTTAGGGACAGAGTGGTAAGTGTTCTTTTATACTTCTTCACTTGTATGAAAATTATTCACAGTATACTGGGAATTTCCTTAGATTACCAATATTTCAGTAAATTCTTGGCCAGAAAAACTGGATGAAAATGGATTCAAAATATATGGAAATATAATTTTAGTGCAAGTGGTTGGATGAGAAGAAAGGTACTTGGCATAAAATAAGGACATCTCAGTGGCTTTCACATAGCCTGAGGTATAGTTGCAGCAAGTTTCAGGGGGACAAAGAATTAAATTAATGTGATATTTACAACAAATCAGGTGTCCAGTGAAATACATCTGAGTTGGCTGTAGAGCATGGGCTTTGTCTTCTTAACTTCAAGACTGGAATCAGAGTGGCACAGAAACCCTTCAAAGTGCTTTCCTAAGAGACACTCAACTTTTAGCAAACCTTGCAGAAAATTATTGTGAGATGGACACTTCTGAACGGATTACTTACCCTTAACATTAATCCTTGTTAATCCTAAATCCTTGGCCATGCAACACAGCACATGGTTGTTAAAGTTCAAAACTGACAGACTCATGAGATGAACTTTGAAAATGCTTTTGGTTCAATATGTACAGATAATACAGATAGCCCACGTGCATGCTTACAACAGTGGCAAAGCAGGAGTAAATTACACAAGAAAGCAGAAGAGCGTTTAATATATCCATGTGTTTTATAGTTCAGACTTGGAGTATCTCCCACTTAATTGAAGGAATACAATCAAGTCATCTCGCTTATTTCTCCGCTTATAAGATTAACTGGATAGTAGCAAATGTATTTTCTCTTTTCTCTCTTTTCTATCATCTTTCTATCATTTTTTGATTCCTTTCACATGTATAAGTTTTGATTTTAGTTTTGCAAGCAGTGCAGTTAGTAGTCATTCCTTTGTCCAGTGGGAGCCAGTCTAGCTCCTGGGAAAGCTTGACCTCCCACACCATATAGCTCTCTCATTGATTTCCTGTTTCCAGCAGAACATTCCTTTGTGAAGGGAAGCTGTGGTCAGGAAGTGAGAGCCAATCTCAGAGGTAGCCAGAGCCATTATCATGGAGGACTGTGAATATTAAGCAGCAGACCTCTATTGGGATTTTGTGAAAGAGATGGGACCATTTAAAGGCATTTTAAAGCATGATTTATTAATCTTCTTCTACAGTCTCATGAAGTCATGAGAGCATCTTCACAATGTTCACTAAATGTTCATGGAGAGTGGTCACAAGACTACAGGTTGCAAGGTTTTTTAAAGGTTAATAAGTCAATAAACTAGTGCCACAAAGAATATTTCTACTTTCACACCAATAGTTAATTATTTCGCTCTATACATCTTTGCCGCAGTGCAAATATTCTTAACCAATCATATAATGACACACAAAACTACTTGTTATACCTTAAACTTCTTATTACCTTTATAACTACTTCTATATCTGAACT